AAACCACTGCCAAGAGTTCTTTTCGAGTCACGCAGTAACGACGTTCTGACTTGGACAGTGTCCTACTAGCGTAAGCTATGACTTTTATTTGTCCTTGTATTTCCAATCTGATTAAAATCAGATCCTTTGATCCGCTCACATAAAGATCGCTACACAAGGATCTGAAGAAACCCCATTTAGGGTCATCTCCTGGTGACCTTTCTCATAAAAATATTCATTAAAATTTTGACCAATCAGGGAGATTGTATTTAAATGACGTTCGGGAAAATGAATGTAGAAGTGAAAGTAGCTGTAGAAAAGATATTATCATTTCGTAGCAAACAAAGAGCTAAAAATCAAGACAAAAGCAAGAACTTATTATATTTCTGTACAGAAAAGACTGTAGCCGTTCTAAAACTAGGTCACGATTTTCCGTTCGTATGTCGTTGGGGCTTTTACTTCTGTAACCGAATTCCGAGATACTTATAAATTCTTGAAAGTAAACGTTTGATTGGATAATTGAAAGGTCACAAGGAGATGACCCTAAATGGGGTTTCTTCAGATCCTTGTGTAGCGATCTTTGTGTGAGCGGATCAAAGGATCTGATTTTAATCAGATTGCTTGTATTTCTTGCGACAAAACTGCACCAAGGCCCATCTGACTAGCGTCAGTATCTAAGATGAATGGCAAAGCGAAGTCTGGGTGAGCGAGTATTGGTGCATTGACCAAATGAAATTTTAGTTTCTCGAATGCTGTTTGGCACTCACCCGTCCATTTAAATTCTCTCCCCTTTTCCGTAAGTTTGAACAAGGGCTTGGCTATAGAAGAAAAACCACTGATGAATCTACGGTAATAGCCACATAACCCTACAAATGACCTAACCTCGGTGACATTCAAGGGTACAGGCCATTTGTCAATGGCTGCGATCTTCTGTGGATCAGTCTGAATACCTTCTCCGGATACTTTATATCCTAGAAACAATACCTCTTTCTTAAATAAAGAACACTTCTTTGCTTTTAATTTTAGGCCGGCTTCTTCAAGTTTTTGAAACACCTGTTCTAAATTCCATAGGGTCTCTTCAAAATTTCGACCAAATACAATAATGTCATCAATATAAACTAAGCAAATCTTGTAGTTTAAACCAGCTAACACCGTCTCCATAAGCCTTTCAAATGTCGCTGGACTGTTACAGAGTCCAAACGGCATTACTGTGAATTGGTATAGTCCGTTTCTTGTTACGAAGGCAGTCTTTGGCTTATCGCTTTCCTCCATCTCAACTTGCCAGTAACCGGAATGCAGATCCAATGTACAAAATAACGTTGCCCCTTGTAAACGGTCTAATGAATCGTCGATCCTGGGTAAAGGATATGCATCCTTCACAGTTTTACTATTTAAGGACCTGTAGTCCACACAAAATCTTTTGGTACCGTCCTTTTTCTCAACAAGTACCACGCCTGCAGCCCATGGACTAGAAGAGGGTTCCACGATTCCTTTGTCAATCATATTTTCTACCTCTTGATCGACAAAATCAGCTGCATGATGAGGCAACCTACGTGGCGGTTGTTTAGTAGGCTTAGCATTTTCCGTATTTATTCTATGCTTGATGACAGAAGTTCTCCCGAAGTCATCTTTTGATTTGGAAAACAAATGCTGGAAACGAAGGAGTATTTTCTTTGTTTTCTCCGCTTCATCGGGATTCAAATCTTTGATGGCCTCAGCGTACAACTCTTTAAGGTGTTCTGGGAGACAGCTCTCTTGGCATTCAGTGACATCTACTCTACATTGACTTTCCACAACATTTGTAACAGCTGACGTGGTTCCTACAACCGTGTTTTTGTAAACAATCTGAGGACTGCCGGATACGTTCATTAACCTTACCATGACATTGTCTCTGGGGTTAATCAACGATCTCGCAACCAAAGCTTTACCGCTTTTCTGAAACTTTTCGTAAGCCTCCATTACTAATGGTCCTTTGCAATTAAAATTGCTAGGTGCAAGTAAGTGACCAGGGCATAGCATCTCACTCTTTGGTGGAATGGTTATTGTCTCCTTCAGGCTGACTCTGAAACATCCTAAGTGACCCTCAAGTTGGAGCTCATGCTCAATTCCTCCAACATACATTTTCCCTGAAGAAACATCCACCAAACATTTATTTTGTTTCAGGAAATCTAAACCTAAGATGCCGTCGGTACTGATGTCAGCGACAACTGCTTCAAAAGTGAATTCATGACTTCCCATCATAAAGTTGGATGTACACTTTCCCTGCACTTGCAATGGAGTTCCATCGGCTAGAATTATTTTCTGTGTTACAGGCATTAGTTCAACAGTTTCCGTGCTAAGCATGTTTTCAAATATTTTATTTGACAAAATTGTCAGTGTAGCCCCGGTATCCACTAACAATGTACAAGGCACCTTATTAACACTAGCCTTTATAAATAACCCAGACTGAACATCAACTCTTGTTTGAGTGACTGAACTCGTATTAGACTTCCTATTCTTTGGCTTAGCCTCGGTTACCTCTTTTTGTTCCACTGCCTCCTTTTGGGATGCCGGGTAAGCAATGTTCGCTTTACCACTTATCTCTGTTCTCCTTTTAACACGACAGTCTTTAGCCATGTGGCCTCGTCGACCACAGTTATGACACTTAAAAGGAAACCTTGTTTGGTCAGAACTTTGTATTGAACTCGGTCCATCGGCTTTTAGTTGTGCCTTACTGATCTCCTTGCGTTCTGACAAAGTGGCTATTTTGGTCTCAAGTTCTCGCAGTGACGACCGAAGTTCATCTCGTAATTGTTTCAAATCTTCCCGTACCTTTGTATCAGCTTCCGATCGCCCCTCTAATTCACCATGTGCTGTTCTTGCAAAACTAACATCGTGTCTTCTTTGGCGTTCAGCTCTACAAAAAGCTTCAATCTCCACGGCCAGTTGAACTGCGTCATTCAAAGATTTGGGTCGTGACTGCTGTATTCTTAGGCGCATATCAAAGTCCGTTAAAGCGTCGATGAACTGATCTTTAGCAATCATCTCTGTAACCTCACGTGGTGCCGTCGGGTACGCTAAATGTGCTAGTCGTCGTATACTTTCCCCTAATTCTGGCAGAGTCTCCTTTGGCCTCTGATGTTTTTCCTTTAACATGGCTCGATAAAGTTCTGTCTGATTAGTCGGTGCAAATCTAGACTCTAATGCTTCACACAAATCTCTATATGCACAAGCATTATCTGTCTTCATATTTCCAAGAACTGTTTGTGCTTGGCCTCTTAATGATGCGGCCAGGTACAAGCCTTTTTGTCTATCGTTCCACAGGTTGATGCTACTACATGCCTCGAAATGAGCTTTGTAATCAATCCAGGACCCGGTACCATCAAATGTCGCAGGCTTCATCACAGTTTTACCAAATGTGTTAGTACTAGGACAATAACCACTGTTTTCCTTCACTGGTGACGCTGCACCTAATGGTGTACTTGGTACAGTCGGCATAGGTTCTCTGTCCCTTGCAAGACTCCATGTAACACTTGTGGGTGTTGACATTGAGCTTACACCTAACGTACTCCAGTGTACATACGGCGTTGAAATCCGTGGTGAATATGCTGATTTACCCAGTGACACTCCTGAGTATGCCGACTTTGGTGTGGTGTAAACATCGCCTCTGTCCCAAATATCTTTGGTTCCAGAAACATGGAAATCAGAAGCTTGGGTCTTGTGTTCCTCGTATCCACCCATAGCTCCTTTCACATTACTTGCTCTTGTGGTGGGGCTTATGTAAGCTTTATCCATCAACTCATCTATACTGTCGTCATCAGTCTTATGCCTCAAGTCTACACCAGAATCTGTGACTAATGAGGGCCTACTAACATTAAATGAGCTTGGCGTAGACTTTAGCCTTTCCAACGTTTCTCTTAATTGTCGTCGTCTAACGTCAATTTCTTCAAGATCTGCCCACAGTTCTGATTCTTGTTCATTCTTCATGTTTAATTTCTATATAATGTATACCAAGTAACCAAACAAAAATACTCGGTACTCAACTATATAAAATCTTACTGTGGTGCACGTACCTAACACAGTGCACACAGAACACTGTACCTTGTATCTAAATCACGTAACAGAACTGCGTTCACGAGAACCCGGTTACAGAACACAGTTCACACCGTTTAATAAACTTAAATCAACAAATTATAGCAATTAAATGTACCCTGTATCCCTTTACCAGCTGCCACCAAAATGTAACGTGTAACCGAAGGGTCCGTATTCAGGAGATACAGGGTCCAATATATAAAAATAAACGTTTCCTATGGCTCTATCTGAACCTATAATTATTCTGGGAATCAATATTATATACAACAATGATTATTTATTATTTTCATGGGATTCTTGTCCTTTTAACTTTTTTTTTAAGTATAAACAACGGGACACAAGCCGAGGTTCTCTTTGTAAACGGGTACTGTGACTGGGCTCCTTGCACCTGGTAACCAAGTTCCTATTGAATTGAGCACTCGGTGCCTCACCCTTACTCAGGATTACTACGCCTTGTGCTTCAATTCAATTCCTTGGCTAAATACAGACCGGTGCTCTGTACCCTAGCCTTTTTATCCTTCTTTTACCCTTTAAATACTTTTTGATTTTATTACTACCTTTATTTTTCTATTCCGCTTCTTGCTTCTTCTTCTACGGGTTTCAGAATGAGAGAGACTGCCTCTGCAGTCATTTATATAGCAAAGGGCTATACCATTCAAACAGGGGTGAACAGGCTCTTGGACTGTTCCATTATTCCAGATCAGACAAGCGTTTGAATGGCATAGGCCGATTGCCTTATTCATTACTCATTACAGTATACTATCATTTCGTCATCTACAAACTTACTTGGGGAGTGCCTATGTGCTACATAATAAGCATTCAAAATTTCCATCAGAAATGTGTCAGGCATAAAGAATTCCAATAAAAATGTAAAATATCACTATCTTCAAAGGTTATAAACAAAAGCAAAGTCTTGAAATAAGTCTGAAACCATTTTGTCTCTGTCGTAGAACATGGGAGCCAACAGCAGCAGTTTTAACGAGTTGTCCAGTAACGAATATCTGAAAAAATTATCTTCACCAGAGCCTATAAACCCAATAGATCCATATTGGAACCAGCTCCTGTCCTTCTCTTTCCTCATCCCAATCAACAGGTATTTAAGTTAAAGATAATTATTTCCTGATATCAATATTTGGGAGAAAGGTTTACATGAAAGTTCAACTTTTACTTCAATAAAAAGCACATACTTACTTCAAAAGTAATTATAAAGTCCAACTTTGAAAATCTATATAGCCATCATCACAAACCACAGTCAAAATGTGTGATCCTCTTCCATTTAATGGACCATTTTGGACATGTTTGAATGAAATTAAATATTTTGTAGCCTGATCATGAAATTACTGGCCATTGCAAGTGAAGCATAGTCAGAAAATAATCTTTTGATGCTATCTTTCATTATCCATACATATTTTGAAATGCAAAGAACCAAAGCTATGTCAACTGAAAATGTGTAACATTGTTTTTTTTCTATTACATAATTCAGACCAAGTATCCCCAAATTCTCAAGTCTAACTTTTAACCAATTTTCTTTACTAAACAGTTCTGATGGCAAGCTTCTGGAGGAGGCCACGGCCAGTATATGTAAAGGTGTGGCCATTCACAACTGTAAGAGTGGCAACTTCGGGGCCCTGATCCGTAATTTCCTGGTGAGAGCCACGGAACTCAAGGCTTCCGTACAGTGTGAAGAGTAAGTCATGCAGTTTGTAAGATACAACTGAAGAACTTGAAGTGAAACATATGGAGATAACGAACAGTATTCAAGATCAAAAGTCCATAAAACAATACAAAATAGGAGCAGAGCAAACATGGACCTCTAAAACATCAGAGGTGGGATCAGGTGCCATGGCGGAGTGAACATTCCCTATTTTATTTTCATGCAGACTCATAAAATCAAGGATTTTGCATGACAATGTGCAAGCTGCTTTGAATAGAATTAGCCAAATGTAAAATTTTCCATAATGTGGAGAATCGAGATCATTTTAGCCATACTTTTTAAATGATGAGAAACTTGAATTATCAAGTTAATGGTTAAAATTTCAATATAATTAATAAATACCAAATAACCTTTAAAAATTAAGCTGAAATACAATGCACAGCACTAGATATCCATTTCTTTTCATGGCAGACATATTTTGATTTCTGTCAGATTTATAACAATTTTTTCTAACTTGACCTATTTTCTATTTTTAGTAACATCTTTACCTGGCAGACCTACAATGCCCTGTTTATCATCAGGTCCCTCAGTAAATATTTTGTGGAACACCTGAGTGAGGAACTCATTTTACAGCAGTTTGAAGCCAAGCCAAAGGAAATGGGAGGTCAGTTTGGGTGGATCCAGGATTTTTTTCCCATTTGGGATGGATATATCATACAGTCTATTATATATCCAAATTTTACTATGATAACTCTATGTTAATTTTAGTACCACAGAAATCGATGAACTGATTTGAAATTAGTGAAATGATACTTTGAAAAATTTAAGTGCATATTGTAGGTACCCCCAGTATTGTGACAGGTTTCATATGTTGCAAAATGATACACATAAATTTATTTCTGACAGTTATGAAGATGAAATTTATCTTTTTTTTTTGTTGGGTGGGGGGGGGGTATTGTGAAAAAAAAATGGTTTATTCCTTTCTATTTAAATAAAAGAAAGTGAATATGTTTGAACATGTGTATAAGATATTTTTTGTTCAAACGTTTAGGATACAAAGATCCAGAAGAAATGGGTCCATTACTAGAGGAACTGATGAACTCCCTAGTGGAAATGCTAGTGGATGTCCCCGTCATGTAAGTGCAGGTTTACTTATATTAGAATGTGAAACTAACCATAGGACAGCCTGTGTGCAGGTTCTTTGGTTCACATGAGACATTGGAACACACAGAGAGCTGAACCAAATTTTGCTCAGACCAAAAAAACGTAATATTAGAAAGTAGAACATGTGAACACAGAACCAAGGAAATTTTATAGTCCATACAGTTTCAATCAAAATTATTTAATTTTACGCACTTGGAATTGTGTGTATTTTTCTGAAACAAAATCTTGTAAGATTGAAGTTAATGTACTTTCAAATTGGATTTGTGCAATATTTTTCCTTAAAAATCAAAGATTGAAGTTAGAAATTTATTTATGCATTTCAGGAACTTTACCTATGCCCTCCATCTAGAAGCCCTGAACACACTGTTGGTTCTGTTGTCAATACAGATGTTTCAGCCTCAACCTGCCCATAAGTTCAGAGTCTACCAGGTCATGATGCAAGGAAGATGGTAAGTGGTCAGCAGTGAAAATTTAACCAATAATTTTTTTCTCTGTGTGTTAACTACCCCTCGTTCATCATGTCTATTACAATTCTTTATGTACGAGGGTTGATCCAAAAGTAATGTCACAACTTGGATAAAATCGCTACCCGTCGACGTAAAATAACAAAATTATTAATGATGAAAGCTACATTTATTTCAAATCAGACCTGAAAATTTCAATTCAGCATGATTTATGCTTTTCAAAATATCGGATTATATACAAATTGTGATTATGGTAGTCGCCGCACCTAAATAACGTCATATGACGGATACGCGACGTCGTACATTTAAACGCTTCCCTTCGTTTCATTAAAAATATGAGAGATCCACGAACAGGTTCACAAATTTCACCTTCTTAAAGAAAACTTGCTACCCATCATACACTCATTCTTTCCATTATTAATTCTTCTGTCAAAATTCTTTGAACAGTAGTATAAGACCAACTTAAAATGTCTCATATCGCTCTTACCGTCTGTCTTTTTTGACAACGCCACACACCATTGAACGTTTCCGTCTGTCCTCCCATCTTTCGCTCTTCTTGTCATCTGCTGAGCATTCAATGACCCATCACCCATCCAAAATTGCTGAAACTATCTAAACAAGTCTCTTATTTACATTCTTTCCTCTGTGAGACTGGTGAATTAACGTTACTGTCTCTTCTGGCGATTTCTTCATTTTGAAGCTAAAATGCATTACAGTTTGTTCTGGCTTTCTTTGCCCATTTCGGCATTTCCTTTTTTTTTCAATGCAATGCACCGGAGTAAAACAACGATGTTTTTAAAATAAAAAATAGCAATTATGTCATATAATTTTCAACTTAAGACTAAAAAATGATGTAAATTTTTGTCTTTTCAAATATTTTGTGATAAGGCGCTTTTAATAGATGTTTTTTAATGTGTTTGTCTTCTTTAATTAAAAAAAGTACACTTTAATTTGTGACGTTCAGTTGTGACGCGGCGACCCCCCATATGTTCTATGTTTTAAACATCTATAAAATAAATTCAGTTAAACATAATTGAATGAAAAATTCAAGTTAAATTCAATTTATGTTTGTGCATCTTTTGGTATATTATATGTGATAATATGACGCCAAATATAAAAGATATGGACACTGTGACATTACTTTTGGATCAACCCTCGTAGTTAAGTATTCATCTATCTGTATTAAAAAGTATTGTATAGCAGCCCTTTCACACAAGTTTTGTTTATTCATTTCTTGCAGTTCCATTCATGCCTGTGTACTTGTGAAGGCCCTGCTGAGGAATTTCTCTAACCAAGAGAAATGTCCCCCAGAACTGTATAGACAATCATCTGATGTCAACAGTATGGTGGCCAATGTGGCAGGTAATAAAAGGGTGGATCCTAGATTTTGCTTGAATGAGACCATGTACTAAATAATGTCACTGGAATTACCAAATACCAGTTATTATTTGTCCGGCATTCACAAGAGAATTTGCTCAATGTGATTTAAGTAGTAAATCGACCAAATACTGTATACAGGGAAATTTTCGCCCCTGTTTTATTTTCGCCCCTTTCACCCTCGTCGGAAGAGGGCGAATTTAAAACGGGGCGAATTCAAAGTAAATAGTATTATATCTTTAACAAAAATCTTTTTGGGCGAATTTAAAACGGGGCAAACTTTTCAAATGTGAAAGGGCGAAAATAACACGGGGCGAAAATAACCCTGTAAACAGTAATAGAAAAGAAAAGTCCATTGCATAATTAGGAAACTTTTTCATCTTTTATAGCTAGTTTATGGTCAGTCATGACTTTGGGCATGGGAACTAAAACAGAGAAAAAGGAAGAGGAGTTCCAGGAGACATTATTAGCCAATCAGAGCCTGTTATTCCTGTTGGTGCTGACTAACCACTGTACCAGTGAGAGAGGAGTGAGCAATCCTTATAGAGAAGCACTGTTTGCTTTTACAAATGTTAATGGTAAGCCACTTCTGAGGAAAATCTACTTCTCTTTCACTGCTATAAACTTTCTCCTGCATCATGAGAGGTTTAAAGTCACCATTCATCTTTTCATATACAATGGAATGTTTTAACACTTGTGATTTTCCAGAAGAAAAAATTGTGTCTGTTTAAACTGAATAAAGAATCAGCATACCTTGCAGAGCCAAATTTTTGACAATTTTTTTGAAAAATGTATAACTGAATGAATGTCATTTAATATGTATGTTATCTAATGATAGACTCATTGGGCCTTAAATTTTAAAGTTTTAATTTGAATCCTTGGATGTTTTAGACCAAAATTTGTCACAATCAAATAAAGAGTCTCTCAGTCTATTTTATTTAATTTCCATTTAGAGCCGACTAAAATATTGAAGATTGTGTCTTAATTCAAGTATGATACCTTTTCTACCTCCTCTTTCAGAAGAGCCCTCTGTGAGTCAGGTGGCAGCCACATTTAAGATGGACTACAGTGTTTTATATGAAGCCCTGTGTTCTACATTAAGAGACGATCAAACCACTCTGTTACTATATCTACTGATTCACAGGAACGCCGGAGTCAAGGCTTTTATATTCTCTAGAACAAATATAGATAATCTTGTAAGACTTCAAAATAATATTGGGATTTCCTGTTTGTGTTGCTCTTTTTCCACTGCACACATTGAGCAATTTATTATTTATTAGGGTTTTCAGAATTTTCACATAAAATATTTCTTGCATTGAAATCTGTGTTAAAAACTGGAAATATGTAGATCGATCTCGAATAGAAGTCAGATCTTGCAAGTAGATACATATACATGTAGTGCCTCCTAAAGAAAATAGGCAGTTTCATGTGATTCAATCAATTTATTTAGAGTAATAACATTAGAGGTATAATTATTTATTTTCCTGATTTTTTTCGACTTAATGTTTAGGTGATGCCCTTGTTGAAGATTCTCTACAATGCCCAGGACAGAAATTCTCACCACATCTACATGGCCTTAATTATCCTCCTTATACTTAGTGAGGATGATGTGTTCAACAAGGCTATTCACGAAATAGTAAGTGTTTAATAAGGCTGTTCATGAAATAGTAAGTGTTCAACATGGCTGTTCACGATATAAAAAGTGTTCACCAAGGCTGTTCATGAAATAGTAAGTATTCAACAAGGCTATTCATGAAATAATAAGTGTTCACCAAGGCTGTTCACAAAATAAAAAGTGTTCAACAAGGCTGTTCATGAAATAATCAGTGTTCAAAAAGGCTGTCAAAATGTTCATAAAATTAAATAAATATATTAAGTTTTCAACAAAGCTGTTCATGAAATAGTAATCGTAAAACAAGCCAGGCTGTTCATGAAATACAATGTAGTAAGTTTTCAACAAGGCTGTTCTTGAAATAGTAAATATTCAATATGGCTGTACATAAAATTGCAAGTGTTCAATAATTTATTAGGCTATTCACAAAGTAGTAAATGTTCAGCATGATTGTTCACAAAAAAGTAATTGTTCAATACAAGTGTTTACAATGTCATGTAACAAGGCAATTCATGAATAATTAGTGTTCTACAGTTTTTTTTTAAATTATTACTCTGTAATTTCATTTTGGTAGCACTTTATTTCAGACCCTGAAGAACATCCCTTGGTTTAAGGAGAGACCAATCTCAGAAATCTCCCTGGGGGGTCTACTGATTCTAGTCGTGATTCGTACCATACAGTACAACATAACAAGAATGAGGGTAGGACTTTTTATTAAAGCAAAAATTTTAGATCTGTGAAATAATACACACACACTCAAAACATTTTTACATATGCTGGTTTTTTTTTTTGTTTTACTGAAACAAGTAAGATAAAGAGTTTTATGTACAAATGACATCACAAATGACTTATAGAGATTTGTATAGATTCTAATATGCAGTACTTATATTCTGAAAGACAATCATAACATTAATTGGTATTTAGACTCTTAAGATAGAGTAAAAGATATGTGGATTTAATTGTCATGGTTTGCCCTAATTTAAATTCTAATGTAATTTTATTGATTTGATTTAGGACAAATATCTGCACACAAACTGCCTGGCAGCCCTAGCTAACATGTCGTCACAGTTCACCAACCTCCACCCCTACGTCGCCCAGAGGATGGTCAGGTAAGGTTCCATAATTCACTTCTTGTTTCGGTCACTTCCTGTCTTGGTCTGCACTTCCTGTTTCTGAAGAGTTCATATGTACCAATACAATACAATCATAACTACATGTAATATTCTTTATATTTTGCTTACAGTTTATTCTCACAGCTGAGTAAAAAGCACGCTAGAGTGGTGGAACACATACGAGATTCTGCCGTCACAGAAACGGAGCAAGACGAGGCCTCGGAGCAAAACGCAGTATGTAGTTATAATTATAGCACATTTCGTCTTCAAAGTGAGACATATACTGTATATATAATTTACACTGAACCAAACTTCTAAGTGTTCACCTCACATTTTTGAAGTTTTAAAGAACAAATGCAAACAATAAATAATTTCTTTAATTCTTGGTTAATGATGCATATTTGAGTTCAATGTTGCGTAAATTTCATGCAAGTATCTCGTCAGAATTTTAAGCAAAGTGTCAAGGAAATGATGTACCCTCAGAATGAAAATTCGCACAAAAAAATATCGATGGAGTAAGACCCACTACTCGCTCTATTACTTCAAGACAATCTTTACTGTTGGATACCATGTACCCCTGAATAGGAGATTGACCCATCTGCTGTCACACCTACATGTACTGCATACTAGATCTTTCCAAACCATTGAAATTGTGAGGAAAAGGGGGAGGGAGGGCTTTGACATTTCTTTTAAAATCCCAAATGTGTTCAATGGGATTCAGATCCGGGAATTTGACAGTGTATCGTCACACAAGTACCTTTTGGTCAATATCCTTGGGTGTTTAGCACGTAAGTGCGCCACTTAAAAGATAATTCAGACTGCTTGAGCTGATATAAGACTGCCACGAGCACCGATTTCTTATCATTTACGTACGATTGAAATGGTTTGTTTCCATGTTTCAAATATTTTTTCAGGACACTTGAACACTCTCTTTACCTGGTATAACGCGAAATTTTCTCCCAAGATGAATATTAAGGTCACTTCCGGTGTGATTAAAGAGTTAAGCCCACGAATGGTCAAAAAATGCCTCATCTAAAAAATCAATGAAATTTTGATAAAAGATAGTATAGACTTTACGCTTTATGGAACTGTTTTCCTTTTTCTGATATATATTTTACTTTTTCTTTAAGAGATTTTGCAGAATGGCATTGTTTTACTAGAAAATTGTGAACGGAACGTCATAATTGACAAATCGTGACGTAACGTCATATAGGACAATAAAAAATATGTTATTGTAAACATAGAAATGACCTGATAATGGATAATTGACTACCAAGTATGACATTATCAGTTTAATAGAAGTACATGTCCAGTCGTATTTTGTGCGATTCTAACAATACAAAGCCCAATAGCAATGTTTTTGAATGTAAGTTTGGGTTGGGGGTGGAGGAGAAAACCTCCACAAAAAATTAACATGCAGCAACAATCCTCCTGATGAATTGCGTCCGGTCGGTAATACTATGTTTGATTTTACCTCTTTACTAGGAATACGAGGGCTGTTCGGAAATTATTGAGACAATTACATTTACTCGATAAAGGACGGAGATAATTTCAGGAAAATTTATCAACATTTTATAAAGAACGAATAGAATACTTATGCAAAATTTCTAATTCCTATTATAATAAGAAAAGTTTCGGTGAAATAATAAACATGCATATGTCTATCGACCCGGAGCAGCATCACTACGTCGTTTTAACGTCGCGTCAGCCAGGGATGGTTTCGCATGTAAAACGACCGGGAAGCGTTTAATCTTTTTCCTTCTTTGTTATTACATATCTCAGTACAAAAATCAAACATTCTCTTTTCTTAAACTATTCCTTTAAAATGTATGCTGTTGCTACCCGAGTGTAATATTTTCATTTGTGGGAAAAGATGACTTAAAATCATGCAGTGCCGATTTATGCAACGCGGATCAACGATATGATACCGTAACGCTAACGATATTAATATACGTAATAACTGATGGTCGTCCGGAGCTTTTGATTTTACTCTGGTTGAATTAATTATAAAAAAAATGTATATCAATGAAATAACAAACCCTAACACTTTATTTTTTTTTCTCGTAGTTATTATTTTAGCAGGTCGTTGTGTCTGGAAAAGAGTTCTACATTGCGCTACACAAAATTTTAGGTATGTTCGTTGCTCCGCCCTTGACGTCAAAATCCATTTTTTCGTTCTTAGCAGATTTCTCTACCGCGCTTAATTTTTTTATGATCTCCGCATTCCTGATCAAAATTCTATCAAAGTTGCACAACATGCATTTGAACTAAAGCTGAAAAATTATATCTATAAACAGAATTATTTTCGCTCTTATTATGGGTCCACGAAGAGTTAGAACGTCGATGTTACATATTTTCAGTATCTGATTTCGAGACTGCTCCGGGTACCCCTACTGATGACGCATTTATATACCATTGTACAGAAAATATTCAATTTTTGTAAAATATTTTTTGCTTTTATTAATTCTTTATGTATGTCGAACATATATGCAAATTTTCACCGAAAGACGTTCATTAGAAAGCAAAATATACACAATGTCTCAATAATTTTCGAACAACCCTCGTATTTCTTGCTTCGTATTTGTATATATAAATATATATTTGTATAGTTAATACATAAAAAGTAAATATGCTAGTAATCACTGGCCCCTGTGACTACACCTCAAAAAGTTCTATTCCGTTAGGGGTGGGTGGCTTCCTCTAACTTTCATTTAATGCAGGAATTTGCCAGTGTTTAACCTTTTTAGCCATGGGCAGCATCTTATTAAAAATGTACATATCAAAACTATGCAAAAAATATTGACCCCCCCCCCCCTACTCTGTTACGTACAAATATAAAATAAGATAACGGGATTTATTTCCAAATGAGTCATCTATCACCCCATTCATAACAATCATTATTCATCTGTTTAAAGTAATTTTGCGAACTCATGTGCATGCGCGGATCTAGAGGGGGGGGGGGGGGGTCGGGGGGTACGGGGGGTCCGGACCCCCCCTGGAATTTGCAAGGTTATAAATTCATATGCTAAAGCAAGTAAAAAGTGACAATGGACCCCCTCTGGAAAACCCAGACCCAGACCCCCCCCCCTTAACATTGCGGATTTGTGCTAAATTGTAGGTATGGATTATTAGAAGTCAACTGCTTACGCCCCCCCCCCTCCCCCCCGAATTAGGTTTTTGACGTTTTGGCGAGTTTACGTTTTTAGTTTTTTTTTTTTTTTTTTTTTTTTGCTTGTCAAGAAATTTGTTGGTTTGGTTTTTTTTTTGGACTTGGGTGGACCCCCCCCCCCCCACCCCCTGGAAAAAATTCCTGGATCCGCGCCTGCATGTGTATGAAATATTTTAAAAATGACTGCAAGAATGCACAAATATCCACCAAACCAATGCACATTTTAAAAAAAAAGACTGGTTGAATTCAATTTGCATGGAATTTTGATTGCAAAAAGATATTCTAGTACGCAGTTCTGCCGAAACATTCGCTATATTGTTAAGAAAATAAACTCTTAGTCATTTTCTACCACATGAAACACCATCATCAACAGATACAAATTCGTTTATAACCATTAGGCCACCATTTTCTACATTAAACCCTCTGAATATTCGTGTAAAAGAATCTGGGACTTGATAGTCATCATCATGGGCGATGTCCCAAGCTACGCTGTTCAGAAATTAACAAAATTAATGTAAAAAAATTACAAGATCACTAAAACTTGCCAGACATTACCGGACATTAATTAATTTTGCTATACAACACAAATTCATTATTGTGGACTGTTATGATAAAGACATCACTGAGATTACGTATACAACACACCTTTAAGTATGATGAGCTAGAAAATCATTAACTTATAATAAGCCGAAAGTGTTACTTTTCCTATATGTCTCTGTGTTAAGAGGCCTAATAAATATTAATAAAGACAATAGTGGCAATCTAGTGAGTATACAAATATATAATAATGCATTGGCGTCGGAAACAAATTAAAGGTGGATGGGGGGGGGGGTAAGTGTAAGTATTTTTTAATACCTTAAAAAAACCTGACAAGCAAAAAAAAAGGGGGGGGGGAGAAAAAGTCAATTTCCCAAAGACGAATATCCTATTTCGGGGGAGGGGGGGGGTTCGAACTTCAGTACCAATTTTTTTTCCCAAACACTACCATTTTCCTCATTTTTAACCTATACTGCGACGTAAACCTACGAAGCAATTTTCATTGTCTATACTAGGTATATATTTGGAAAAAAGCATAATGAAAACAAAGTTAAGCATATGTTCATACATCTTATTGGAAGACAAAAGCATTAATTTCAATTAAATAAAAAAGAAAAACAATGACTGAATCTGAAATTATCGCTTTTAATTCAACCTTCAAATGCCTTTTAAAAGAAAGAGGGCGTAAAGTACCAGGACAATCTCCCGCTCCGAGACATTTTATTTCTCAATTTCCGAAATTCACAGAAAATTTTTATTTTTCTAAAATTATGTTGTCAGTTATGTCATCTTTAACACGTTTGATTCATCTATTTCATTGCATGACTTAATTGATATTGTTTTAAGTTGAAATGCAGTTACGCATATTTACCGGAAAATGGGTATAAATTGTTTTTTATATAAATGGGTCAAGTCTCCATTCCACATTAACGTTTAAAAGATTGAAAAGTAAATGTAAAATCCATTTTACGTTTCAAAAAATTGGAGTCCGAAACCTTTCAATATAAAAGTGAATATTTATGGAAAGATATTTAATTCAACAACACGATTTATCTAAAGCACTCTTACATACATTGATGACAAAAAGCCCTCGTAGCGTAGTGGTTAACATGTTCAGGTTAAGAGAAAAAACGGGTTCAGTATTATGCCCAACCTTGAGCTTTGGATAGAGTTCGAATCTTGTGAGAGTTTTTCCATACACCTTAAAACAAACCTAAGTGAAAAATGAAATTACATATCGGTAAATTATTTAATAAAATAAAAGAGGCAGATATGTAAAAGATGACTCTGACAATGCAATTATTGAAAAACATCTTATAATGAATTCTTACACTAAGAGTTGAATTTTTTTTTTGTCTCAAAGAGGGGATTGTCCTAGCCTTGGACACCCCTACTCTAAAACCATAAAACAGTAAATACGAGGGCCGTTCAAAAATTACGCGGACTTGTTGCACAGAAAAAATATTTGACGACATAATCGGGCAAAATGTCACACATAACATAAAAGAATCTTTACTTGTATAGTCTTCAAAATTTCATATCAAAATGTTGTAAATTGGTATCAATTTTGGGTGATTTTTCTGGACATATTATTAAGTCACGGAGCAGCAAATCTTCGACGTCACTGGTATTATAAAATATCTGAGCTTGCATTTTCTCAACTTTTTTCAAGAGTTCCTGTACAGTTTGAGTTACCTTATCTACTTAACATCCATACACCATTTTTTGTCAAGCTTAAAATCTATGAAACAATAAGCTTAAAATCTATAAAACAGGTAAAACATATTTTTTTTGTTTTAAAACCAAAAACTGCAGCAGGTATTTATGAGATATGGTGAGTCATTGGTAACTTTCAATCACGTTTTTTTACAGTCCGAGTAAAGTTTTCGCCGAAAACCTTCTTCCCACCCTCCCGTATAGCCCTTTTACAAAGCTTAAACGGTCTAAAATTCCAATTTGCTATTTGTAGGCAAATGTAGTTTACTACATGTTTTATTATGCATATTTTGGATTTATGTTGACGATACTTCGAGCATTACACATAATTTAACGAAAAGGTGGTGCTCCGTCAATTCAGGAGACGTCATTTTCACAGTCATTTTCACATGAATCACTTCGGAGAAAAATTTCTATATTTCTGTAAATACTTCAAATATCATATCAGAAATTAAAATACATAATGATAAAACAATATAAAGATAAATTTGAGAAAATTGTCGAAAAGTATCGCAAATAATAGAAAATTAATGAGTTCAATTTTGGATTCCGTAAGTTTCTGTTTCAAATTTTTTGTCGTGCGCTGTATCTCTCTATCAGCGATATCAACACAGCGATAATTTTGGGAGAATTTTCTAAAATACCAAAATTTTGCCCAAAATGTATTGGAATCTTTGAGATACATATTTCTGTGAATTTTCTTAACTATATGACGTCTGTAAGATTAAATAATAGCACAGTCCGCGTAATTTTTGAACGACCCTCGTAATTATGCCCCCATTAAATATTAAACCTTGAATTTGGTGAAAAAAAAGTGTACAGAAAATTAGATATGCACATGCATTTCATCAAAGTCTAGAATAGTACTGTATAAAGTAATTGCATTTTATTTCTCACATGGCAGCTAGATACGTATACTCCTCTCTCCAATCAACAAATACACCCCCCCCCCCCCCCCCCCCCTCATAATGCTAAACAATAGATGAACCAAATTATTAAATGCAATATCTCATGGGAATCAGACTGAGTGAAAAATCTTAAGGAAACTTTAATTTTATTTTTGTAAGTTTTCTTTTCAACCAAAGTGTTACTTAACAATCAGTCAGTACTTGGGCGGACTGGACCCCCCACCCCCACCCCCCACCCCAAAAAAGGAAGAAGGAACGGTTTTGTATTCAGGTCGTCCGCCTTGTACCGTCGGAGGGGAGGAAGATGGCTCTGAACTTGACATAGTAATTTTAAGTAAGTGTAAAAGATATATTTGAAGACCAGTTTTTCTGAACTAGGGTGTTTTATGCCTGAATTACTAATGCCAATTTACACTAAAAGGTAGATAAATATTGATAAATTGCGGCTTATCTCCTAAACAATATTGTAAGTTTACGTTCTTATTCCTGCTAGTCCTGGAATTTTTTGTGGGTTCGTGGCTGCAACTCCAACCCCCAATATTTCTTCCTAGGACCTTCATAGCTCTAATAATGCCTGAAAAAATAGGATTTGCTTTCCTTGAAGAATTTACCCAAAAGCTATAGCTACATATAATCAGAATGAGTATTAATTTAAAAAAGAAATAAAATTACTGTGTCTTTATTTATTTCATAAAACGTTTTATGTCGTTTCTGGTTTTTAGTGAAAACTTTACTTTCACTTCTCACCTGCTGTAGACGAAATCTTCCTGATGGTAGTTCGAATAGGCTGATATATCATTGTATACAAACATGGTTTAAGGAAAAGCCATGGTTTTAATTAAGGATAAAGATGTACAATTTTACGTATTATAATTATACATGCACGTGCGTGTTGTCCATTTTACTGAGCAATGCCAAACAATAACAATACGTCAATAGCTAATATGACTTTGAATATACACCCAGTATTTGTACACAACTTCAAAATGAATGGTTTTTTAAAAGTTCTGTAGCTTTTATTTAGTATTTTTTTTAATGTATTCTTTTCTTTTGCTGATACATGATACATACTTGTTATACGCATAACTTCAAAGAAAAGTCCGAAGATATTTGTTTACCTCTAGTGTGGGATCAACTAATTACAAAAAAAAAAATTAAATAGTGGACCTATACACCTACTAAAGTGTAGTGAACAACTAAAAACTCGTAGTATGACACTTTTTTGTGAAAAATGTGTAATATTCTAACAAAATCTATAACCATATAATTTACAAGGGGCAAAAGGGTTAAAACTGAGGAAATTCGGATTTTTGTGGAAATGTTCTTTTTAGGTATGAGCACACTTCTGCCCCACAAAATTTTTTTCATGAATAGAAACCTCTTGATGTTAGTTTTAAACTGAACCCTAAATAAATTTGGGGCAGACCTGTGCTCTATGTAAAATTTGACTATTTAGCCCCCAAAATGTGATAAATCAAGCACATGCCTGATTTTCTATGATTTGGGGGCTATAGATCTCAGGTATACAAGTATTGAACTCCAAGATTTTTTCCACTTTGATAAACTACAATACCTATGCTATCTTTTAAGCAAAAAATATTTGGCCAAAACTGCAGTTTAATTTTGACCATTTTACAGGGCATATTTTGACCCTTCGTGGGCCAAGCTCTTTTGTCAAAAACTTTCAAATTGTGATAAATTGGTGATGAAAAAATGAGCACAGCCTATACAAAAATGTGTTTAAATGGGTTTTTGATATTGTTTGATAATTTTTAAAAGTAATATCAAGTACAATTAAGCACAAAAATAAAAATGAGTAAAACGTGGTGAGAAGATGGTTCAGATATCAATATTCCAACGGCTCTCCCCTCTACATCAATGGTTATTTTGCCAATGTTTTGTGTTTTTTAGTGAAACCAGTTTTTAAAATTTGATAATGATCACACAAAGATGCTTATTAAACAAAACACGTGCTGCAAAGTACAGATTTATTGTTTTTAAGCTTCGTCACGGAACATTGGTTTTCATCGGTGATATTGAATTTTCTTTCTACAATTGCTGAGAAGACTTATTAGTTGTAATAGTGTGAAAATATCATACCATTCTATAAAGTAGTTTTTAAATAAATGCATTTATTAAAGTGAACACTTAGAAGTTTTGTTAAGTGTATATCACTGGGTCATAATTTTGCAGAATCGCAAATTCTGTTCAAGCCAATGTAAAACATATTGGCATATTCTTTACATTGCCTTTAAAATTTTGCCTGAAAATGAGGAGATATTGAGCTTTATGGATTTTGATCTCTGGTTTGTAGATGCAGGATTAAGCGGTCCTCAAGGAGGTATTGAGGATGGTCCTGGAGATCATTAATCCCTGTCTGTCATTAATGATTCTGATCTCTGTTTTGTAGATGCAGGATTTAGCGGTCCTCGAGGAGGTATTGAGGATGGTCCTGGAGATCATTAACTCCTGCCTCTGCTCCTCACTCCATCACAACCCTCACCTGGTCTACTCCCTGCTGTACCAGAGGGAGCTGTTCAACTCTTTCAAGACACACCCCACCTTCCAGGACATCCTACAGAATATAGATATTGTAAGAATATAGATACTGTAAGAATATAGATATTGTAAAGAGAGAGAGGGCAATAATAATATTATAGGGAGAGAGCAGGTGATAATGATATTGTAAGGAATAAAGACCTTGTAATGAGAGAGAGAGAAGGGAGAGGGAGCATAGAGGAGAATGATGTTTACCAACTATTATTTGCATCATCGATCAATTATGCAGGATTTGTCAGTTAGAAAATTATCCATGATAATAAATTTTCCTGACTGAGAAAATGTTTCCTACAAATACAAAGTAATTTAAGTTGTTCGCTGTGATTCATATTTTTTGTGAGTTAGAGTGGGTCCCGAAACTCACAGATATTCTTCATATGCAAAGAAAAGTTGGTTTACAATATAGATATTGTAAGGAGAGAGAGAAAGATAGGTCACAAAAAAGGGAGGAAGTGTTTGGCAAGGGGGCATTTGTTACTCGGGGTAGAAGGTTGAAACATCAGCAATGAGCTTCTACAAGATTCTACGTTATTAATCTTCAGTGAGGAAAAATTTATCTTTTGCCATAAAATTAAATAACTGCATTATTGCTTGAACAAAGTTTACAAATAAGTCTGGTAACTAGTAACAAGGTGATTTTTCTTGAGATGCTTTTGTTAATAAATTCTTTTGTTTATATTTAGGTATTGTCCTACTTCTCAGCCCGTGTAGAGGAGCACAAGAAAGGAGGAAGCATGTCCCCGACAGAGGTTCTGGAAATCATCAAGGAGGGCTCAGTACAGTTCAGGAGGGACAAACTCAAGGTTAGTCAGGATAAAATAATGGAGGTTTAAAAAAAATCTGTAGTTAGGGCAATTACAGCTATACACTGTATTGATTTTGTGATGTCTATTGAAAAATTTTTTCTCAAAAGAAAAAAAGAGATTTCTAAGTGGACTTTAAATTTTTTTTTGTTAAAAAAAAGGGGTGTGGGGTTAAATTTGGAGTCTCAGAATTTTTCTTTTTTATTATAGAAACTCCCTACATGTAATCTGAAGTTTAAGTTTGGTAGTTTTGAATTTCTCATCATATTTTTCAGAAATTCCCGATCTGAACTCTAAGTTTATTAATTTTAGAATTTCTCTTTGTATTTTTTTTTAGAAATTCCCTGATCTGAAGTTTAAGTACGTTGAGGAGGAATCACCAGAGGAATTTTTTATCCCCTATGTTTGGTCCCTGGTGTATCACTCCTCCAACATGTACTTCAATGCCTCACGGATCTTACTGTTCTCCCTCTCAGCGTCCTGATGAACTGAACCAATGTATGAACTGAATCAGTGTATGAACTGAACCAGTGAAAGTATGAACAGAACAAAAAGAATCGATCATCTGAAATAATGAGCCAGAAATATGAGCTGAAACTGTGAAAAATAATTGATCATCTGAAAATTTGATGAAACATAATGAGTCAGAAATATGAACCTGTGAACCACAGAGAATGTGAACAGAACAAAAGAGAAGTGTTCTTGTACTATCTTGAACCAGTCATGATCTTGTACTGTTTTGAACTAGTCATGAAATATGCTGTTTTCATGTTCATAGTTTTTAAACCAGTCACTTTTTTCATGTTCATGGTTAGAGAATCAATCAAGAAATGAACTAAATATGAACAGATGTGTTCTGCTGTAAGTATGAACATGAACAGATCCAAAGAAATGGCTTGATCTGTGTTGAGCAATATTTATACCCCCGCTCCGAAGGAGAGGGGGGTATACTGTTTTACCCTTGTGTGTCTGTCCGTCTGTCTGTCCGTCCGTCTGTCTGTCTAGCTGTGTGTCTGTCCGAAACAAATTTTCGTCGCAGTTTTCTCAGCAACTACTCACCGTAGATGCTTGAAATTTTAACATAATCTTCTCTGAGGCATGCTATATGGTGGGATACATTTTTGCTTAAATCCGATATCAACTTCCTGTTTGTCTGTGCGTCTGTCCGTTTCATACATCACAAATTTTCGTCGCAGTTTTCTCAGCAACTACTCATCCTAGATGCTTGAAATTTTAACACAATCTTCTCTGAGACATGCCATATGGTGGGATACATTTTCGCACAAATCTGATGTCGACTTCCTGTTTGTCTGTGCATCTGTCCCTTTCATACATAACAAATTTTCGTCGCAGTTTACTCAGCAACTTCTCATTGTAGATGCTTGAAATTTTAACACAATCTTCTCTGAGGCATGCCATATGGTGGGATACATTTTCATTCAAATCCGATGTCAACTTCCTGTTTGTCTGTGCATCTGTCTGTTTCATACATGACAAATTTTTGTCGCAGTTTTCTCTGCAACTACTCATTGTAGATGCTTGAAATTTTAACACAATCGTCTCTGAGGCATGCGATGCTTCAAATTTTATTACTCTCTTTGTTTAGGCATGCCATATGGTGGATTAATTTTGATATGAATCTGATGTCAACTTCATATTTTTCTGTGCATCTGCCTGTAACTGAACTTGTGTATATTAACATGATAGTGCTAATTTACATCAGAGCGGGGGTATTACTAGTGAGCACTGGCTCACAGATTTCTTTTTTGAACAAGTGAAGAATTATGTTCACTTGACTGATGTTCTTGTTCACAGGTCAGCATGAACTTGAACAATGGAATCATAGAGTTGCCATATATTTATGCTCGAATGGAGCAAGGAACTTGCTCACTTCAAAATTGTTCATGTTTAGTCCTACTTTGAGGTGTGGCCTGCAAACCAATCAGAAAACATCTATTTTTAAAGAAAGATAATGTGGTAATTCCCTCTCCCAACTTGTGAAAATTAAAAAAAAATGTTCTTGTTGACAAAATTATTTTGAATGCTATTATTTATAGAGTTTGGAATGTTTTCATTTTATTTATCTTAAAATTCATTTGAAATTAATAAAATATGGCATTATATCTCATCAACTTGGATAATATGTTTGCATTTCTCCTATATATAACATTGCCCTCTCCCCTATGCCCCCTTTTCTTTTCTTTGGAAAGTGTTTGAAATAACTAATAATGAAAGGGTAAAAGATTAATGCAAATATGAGGCAATCAAATGCTTAAAATTTCTTTCCAGAAGTGATAAGATAGAGACAAGTCTTTTAAGGAATCAATGTTCATTTGATGAATCATTACATGCAAATACTAGATTAATTGTGTTTTGAGTAATTATGTAATTATTTGAAAGTAGACAAAATTTCTCTGTAGTCTTTACATGTATATAAAATATGGGTATAGTTTCTTTTGACTTTATTTGAATTCCATATTTCCTAGGAGTGTTTTCTGTAAATTATTAAATTTAGAATGTTGTTGTACATTATTATGCAATTCAATAGATATACTTGAATATTCATATGTTATTATGAAAATGTACATTCTTTGTGAAAATCTCTTTGTCTCATCTGACAAAGCAAAATTATTGTTTCAACTTCTTGATAGTAGAAATGACTCAACATGTAGATGTGCAGTCACAGAAATTTTGTTATTTAACATTTAAAAAAAAAAGCATTATGAACTTGTCATGTTTACAATAATATGAAGCTACATTTTGTATACTGAGTTTATATCAAATGGAAGAGGAAAGCAAGAGTTAAATCAGTCGTTTCAATTTTTAATTAATTTGTAAAGTATGTTTTCAAATTTCTCAGCTAAAAGTTACATTAAGGAAAAATAGAAATTGATGTATCTCATGGTGTTGTGTTTAGGGTAAATAGGTTTTTCAAAGATTTGTATCTGTATCAGTTACATGTATATTTTTTCTTAAAGTTCATTGTTTAAGCACAGCAACTTGTTTTAATGCACTTTATACTTCAATATCTACAAACAACAGAACTGTGTTTTATTTATTGTTTAAATGAATACTGTAAAACGAGAAAATTTGGGGTATACATATTTTAGCGCAAACGCAAGTGGGAATGCTTTGGCGCAGATAAATATTAGTGCTTGCACTTGTCATTAAAATATATAAATGAGATATTTTGTTTTTTTATATCCTCACCCGTATTTGACTTCTTGGTTTTTCAAGCATGGAAGTGCACTTCCGTATTTCAGTAAACATTTGTCAACTTTACCGTTGTATTGCAATCTCATGGACGTGGCACAATGTTAAAATTCATTTTATTTTTATTTTAAATTTAAAAAATGGAGTATTTACGCATTTTATTCATATCAAAACAATGCATACATTGAAAGAATGTTACTTGGATAAACGGTAATCATAATCAGGTATTGTTTGCAAGCTCTATCGCCATGCTTGATTGCATTGTTTACCTCGAGGAGATAGATGATTGACACGCCGAGAAGCCAAACTTTGAAGGTGCTAATGATCAGAATCGGGTAACAACTACCAGGGTAACAATAGTTTAATTGAATTATAATTTGGCAGATCAATCCTACCAAATTGAGTGTGCAGTGCTAGTGTATATAAAATTCAATGACCCTTCGAAAGTACGTAATTGCGCGTTCCGGTTTACATGTACTTATATGTAAAAGCTTTGAACACACACAAAAAATAATATTTAGAAATCTGTTAGCGCACAATAGATTTTAGCGTTCAGAGGATCTTGCGCCAAAGGCGCTAAAATTAGTAGTGCTCCAAATATTCTCGTTTTACAGTATTTTATATGGGAAAGTTTACATCACCATGTATTGAAGTGATGCATAAATTTAATAATACACTGTACTGTGATTAGATTACTTTATTATGTGGCTATTGCATGAGAAGGTATGAAATAGAAAATTTCATACATAGTGAACATTGTGTCTCTCTGTATATAAATACAAAATAACTATTGTTGCAAAAATTTTATTTTCTCTATGAGTTTGTTATAAATGTTTCTTTATTAATCAGTGCATTTATTATTTGTGTTCTTAAGCTTGTATTATATAACTTATATAAGTGATACAAATAATGTCTTGCTGATATATCAGTTATGAGGTGATATGGCACAGCTGATATATTTATGAACAGTTACTGTATGTTTTAGTAATATATATTGATATTGTTGTTAGAATCATATTATAAGAATTTTTGCTCTATTTGTGATAAACCAAGCTAAATAAAACTACATATGGATAGTTTTCTAAAATTGCTTTATTTCTTATTATACACCATGTTATACATGTAGAACAGAGGTTTTTACAAATCATTTGAAATTATGAACATACTGTGAAATCACAGTGACAAATTGTTGTGGGATTAACAATTCTTTTGTTGGCATGGAGAGATGAACGAATTCATGACCACCACGAAATTTAAAATGCATTTCTACATTCTTCAGTCATGAAATCAAAATCAAACTTTTCCTCAAACCTCGAAAATTTGATCTCGCAAAAATATGTGATTTTACAGAGCTAACTTTGAGAAAAAACAGTATCAAATGGAGAATATTGGATGCACAACTATCTTATTCATTGTTTTGTACAATCATTCTGAACAAGAACACAACGTGACACTATACCAAGTTACATGCAGTGTTGATTCAATGATGGCTCAAAATGGTTATAATGAAAATGTAATTTCAGGGAAATTGCAAAAAAAAAAAAAATTCTATAGAAAACGAAAAGCTTGATTGCACAGAGTGCCTTCCCTTAAAATGTAACTGGAGTTGACAGAGAAATAGATTCTTTATAGTTTGATCAAAATTTGGGAAGGGGTGTACATGTATCTGAAGATGTGTACATTATGTACACATTTCAGGTGCTTTTTTATATTGTTTAGCAAAATTATGGTACCTTTGTGGACTTCCTTTGTCTGTGGACCCAAAGATAGACCTGATTTTTTTTTTGGGGGGGATCTCTTTATTTTCCATATTAATACATGAATGTACATTGTATAGTTATATTTATATGTACGGAAGCATATAAGTGCCACACAATATTTTTTCTAAAGTTGGTAATTCCAACTTTGAAGTTGGTAATTCCAACTTAATCTTGGCTTTTCCAACTTTAATCTTGGTAATTCCAACTTTAATCTTGACTTTTCCAACTTTAATCTTGGTAATTCCAACTTTAAAGTTGGTAATTCCAATTTTAAAGTTGGTAATTCCAACTTGAATCTTGGCTTTTCCAACTTTAAAGTTGGTAATTCCAACTTTAATCTGGACTTTTCCAACTTTAATCTTGGTAATTCCAACTTTAAAGTTGGTAATTCCAACTTAATCTTGGCTTTTCCAACTTTAATCTTGGTAATTCCAACTTTAATCTTGGCTTTTCCAACTTTTTTCGGCTTTATGTAGTATATTGTCTGAGATACTTTTTAGCTTAAATCGTGTTACGTTTTATACATGTAATTGAAATGGAAAGATACAATTTTATAATGAAATGATGATTATAGAAGGAATTATTTTATTATAGTGCATGGCCGTAGGGGATGCATGGGGGCGTGCCGACCCCACCCCCTCCCCCACCAATAATACAATAAATTGCAGACATATAATATTTGTAGTTGGTTGTTGACAGCTAGTGCCCCAAACTGAGAATATTATGTTCCATATACAGAATTGACATGGTCTCTTTTTTTTAAAATGTCTGAGGTTGAAATCCTGTCATGTACGGAGTTGACTGAAAGTCTCTTTATACGAGGGTTATGTACTTTTTTTACCTGCAACAGCTGCGCCATTAATTCCCGTACTATCAACCAAAGAAAGCATTTTATCATTTAATATAACATAAGAAATTGATATTAACATAAAATAGGATCATAGCTACGGTAGCCTTACATACATTTATTTTTAATTAATAAAAATAAAAACACTGAACAAATAAACTGACACAGACAAAAAGTGCTGACCAATTTATTTCAATGTACTTGTATATATTAACTTTATTAAGCATAATTCAAGTTTTATACCATAACTCCCTATGGGCCCGTCCGCCCTTCTAAAAGAGCCTCTCTTCTGTAACCCCCCCCCCCCCCTTCATCTATGTTGCGAAAATCTATTGTTAACCAGTCTATTCCAGTGTATTACATTTACATTAATAAAGTTGATAATGGTTTAAAATAAAGGGAAAACTAAAATAAAAAGGGGGAGATCAAAAGTTGGAAAAGCCAAGACTAAAGTTGGAATTTCCAACTTTAAAGTTGGAAAAGCCAAGAATAAAGTTGGAATTACCAACTTTAAAGTTGGAATTACCAACTTTAAAGTTGGAATTACCAAGATTAAAGTTGGAATTACCAACTTTAAAGTTGGAATTACCATTTTTAACGTTGGAATTATCAACTTTAAAGTTGATAAAGCCAAGATTAAAGTTGGAATTACCAACTTTAAAGTTGGAAAAGCCAAGATTAAAGTTGGAATTTCGATCCAACTTTAAAGTTGAAATTACCAACTTTTAAAAAAATATTGCGTGGCACTAATACGCTTCCGTATATATGATATAAGTACTAAGCAATAGATTAAGTATATCATTTATTGAGCTGTGGAGTTGAAAAGGAACTCTTAGGACCACGATTTATTTTTTTTTTCCAACCTCACAGCTTAATAATTTCAGAC